AATTTTAATATTTTATAGTATAATATTATAAAGCCTAATAAAGTAGAGGCAAGACTGCCAAACTGTTAAAAAAAAAAAAAAACAGAATTGCCAAAAAAAGAAAAAAATTTAAAATATTGGTTTTGCATTTATCATCTATTTTTTATATTTTTCTAAGTATTGAATATAAAAATTTTCAACACAAAATTTCATAATAGTGTTAGTATTAGAGTTATAGTTGGGGTTTTTAGAGGCGTAAAGCATTTTTACTTAAAATATCTTGCATAATTAGCCAGCTTTTGAGATAATATATATATAGGTGTAAAACACCTTAGGTGCGTTTTAGAAAGTCTATTTTTATATACAGTATTTGAAATTATACTAAAACGTTTATTTAAAAAAAGTTTATAGCAAATATGTTCATAAAAAATACAATTATAAAGGTTTAACTATATAAATAATAAAAATTTTTGTTATTAAATACTATAAAATTATTGAAAGTTATTAATAATTTTTGTAATAAGTTTTTAAAAATAATTTATAATAACCTATTTTAAAAACTAGTATTTCAAAATTACTAAAAGATATTTTTATAAACATAATTAAGCACTAATATACCACAAAGTCACGAGATATTTTCAAACTACTTAATGGGTACAGTACTGGTACAGTTGTATTTAATGTTGAACTAAGGGTTTAAACAAAACCAACTTATCGTGTAATATGAGAAAATTTTAGAAGCAACTTTTTCAAGTTAAATGTCTAAAAATAAAATATATAACATATAGTAATGAAATGACTTTTGACTGTAAATAATTTATTGAATGAAAGTTCTATAACTTTCTACCACGAATCCTTGCTAAACACGTGAAATGTTAGTTTTTTTTGAGAAGCATCATTTATTCCGTTTTTCAAACTGTCCAAAGACCAAATCATAACCATCAAAGTCGTAAAGGATCCTGTCTTTACGAACATAACCTGTAACATTACTCAAAGAATTGACAAGATGCTTCTTATCAACATTATATCCTTGAGTTTTAAAAACTGTCACAATAAATTTACCGGGTTCAAAAATAGCTATCAGCTGGTGAATGATCTCGGAAATGGTTCCATGTGCTAATGGGATGTTGGTTTCGAACGACGCATAGGAACAATTCAGTTCCGGAGTAACATGAATAGTGAAATAGCTATCTTCAAGCAATCCGTTCGCAGAATATCCACAAGGTTTGAATAGAAAAGAGTCCAATTTTGCCGAGGGATAAAGATTTTTCAAACCTGTTTCTCTGTATACTCGTGCACCACCTTCGGTTCCTGAATCGTTATTCATATTTTCACAATAAAATTTCTTCATCATTTTTGGACTTAGCTCAGTCATTAATACTTCGACTGTCTGATCGTCTAAATCGTTAGTTGCACATTGATCTCCCATATTAACGTCTAAGGAACAATCTGTGCTTGAAGAGGCCGCACGATGACGTAATTGTGATGAATCATTCTCGGAGATGATGTCATCTTGTGGTGACGTCATATACAAAAACCAATGATCGCCATTGATTCTTCCGACTGTATAAGCACTACCGTTATCTTTATATAAAAGTGGCGAGTTAGTATGTTAACAGGATACTGGTTTTTATTAAATCTTTTATTTTGCCTTACCAAAAAGTTGATCCAAGTAAGCAACCTCATCTTTCCAATTATTATGCGGATGTGATTGTCGCTCAGGAAACATAAAGCTCTTCCGAGAATAAAATACTCTCCAAACTTTATGAAATTGACAATACTCGGATGCGATTTTCAAAAGACGAGGTATAGCAGCGAGGAGAGTTGTTGTTCCACATGTTTTCAGAATAATTTTATGTTGATATACAAACATCGAGGATTCGCTATATTATGTTGATATATGCGTACTACTTTCAAAATTTATCAACTTTTTTAAAAGGTTTATTTATAAATAACATAGTTCTCACCTTAATAAATAAGCATCTACATGGTCATTTTCAATCACGCTTATTATTTTACATTTAACAATATTTAACATATCATCCCATATTGCTCTCTCTATAGAGCGTAATCCAATGTTCGTCGATGAATTCGATGAATTATCTTTAATTATATAATTTGGTGAAGGTTCAAACCAAATTTCAAGCAATTTCTCCGGTCCTTCAAAACTATCAGAAGATCCATTTGACGAAACCAATGTCCTATCAGAGGTTGTAGTCGTCGATGTTGATGACGATGGTAAGTTATCTTTACATATTAACGTGTCCATTTTTCATTTTTTTTCTTAGAGAAGAATCTGATGAATTTTATCGTCAACCATTGCCTGGATAAACAAAGAAATGATTGTTCAATAGGCGCATTTATTATTATAACCACGTGCTTATAAATACAGGACCCTAACAAAGACATTAACCAAATTTTGATAATTCTGCAAATCTAATTGGTTAAAAAGTTTATACTGTATACATTTTTGTAATAGGTCATATGATAAACTAAGATGTGTGACATAAATAATGCTAATACTGTCGTGATGGTGGCAACCAAAGCTGAACCACTTATAAGCCAACCAAACTCGAGCAAACGATTCCTTCGAAGTTGACTTTGTGTGGATATAATAAAGTCTAATTTATAAACGTAATCCAAGGGAAAAGTCCATATTTTGCAAATCAGCCGACTGGTAACTGCTCAGAGATAGTAGATGCAAATGAGCGATAAATTTCATAAATTCGAGGGTAACTGAAAGATTGCAGATGACCGAATCGACAAGTTCCTGAGTTCTGCCGGAATCGGTAACAACTCGGCAACTTATTGTTTCAGTCATCTAAAACAGTTTTCATATATTCTGGAACACTTTCGGTGACCGAATCGATAAGTTTTTGATTTCGGTCGAGTCGGTTTCGACTCTGTAACCTATCGATTCAATTATTGGAAATTTTTGCTGTCCCAGAATTTATAAAACAGCTGTATATTTCATTTAGCTTCTAGAAAAAGTGGTCTTTTAGCCTTCGACAATGTTTGAGAATAAACCGTAAATGTATATGTGAAAGTTGCGAAGTATATTATGTCCTTTTTACTGGTTATTAATTTAACTAGGTGTAATTATATAATTGATTCAAAAATAAATGTATATAAGACTATGTAATATACAAATAAAATACATAATGACTCTTTATAACGGGTCTCGATATAGTAAAATCTTGATATAATGGATCAAAATTCAAATAAGGTTTGAAAAAAAAAATGTATATAAATACAGACAGACAGAGGTAGATTTTTTAGTGAAGGTCAGAAACCCAAATTTGGTAAATTCTGTTTGATATAATGGATTTACTCTAATTGCTCAAACAATATGTTATATCAAGAGTTACTATGTTCTGTATATTAATAAATTTACTTATTTGATAAATTAATACAGTATTATACATATCAAAATTAATTTAAATTCACACTTTTTAAAATATACCTGTGTTGGTTTTGCATCTATTATGTTTTATTATATATGTTTTTTAGATTTTTTCTAAGTTTTAAATATAAAAATTTTCAACCCAAAATTTTCATATTAATGTTAGTATTTAGAGTTAGGGTTAGAGTTTGAAAAGAGTTTTTAGAAGTGTAAAGCATTTTTACTTAAAACATTTTGTACTAATTAATTAACCAGCTTTTAGAATAATATACTATAAAATACTATAAGTGCGTTTTAGCAAAGTTAATTAGTTAATATGCAATGCTCTAAATAAAAATGTTTTATGTTTTTAAAAACTCTTTTTAAATTACTATAGATACATTTTATAATTATTAATATAAATTTACTTTTTTAAAATACCAAAATATTTAAATAAAATTTTGTACAATTATATTTGAAAATAAGGGTTATTTTTTGTAAAATTAGCGTTTATAATATAAGAAAAAAAGGTTAGATTGCTTAGAAGCTAAAAATAGATAAGGGCAGTGTCATTTATCACCTGATTTTTTTTTATCAGAGGTTTACCTCCCAGTTTTTTTTTTTTTTTTTTTTTTAATATTGAAGTGACTACTTAGGCCCCTGGCACTTTATTAGTTCAAACGGGTAGGCTGTCCGAAGACAGCTTACATATTACATCAGTATAACG